CTGGTGCTCGCCATCCTCTTCTCCATCATCTTCTTCGTAAGCGGCGTGAGCCACTTCCAGGACCCCCTTTTCTGTGGTGAGTCCATGTGTCCGTGTGTGTCGTCCACCCGCCATCCTGGGGTGCAGGGTGTGATCCCGTGCTGGGGCAGGGAGTGGGGATGTGGGATTTGGGAAGAGCCCTGGGACCCGCTCAGAGCTGGCTCGCTGTCCCGCAGTGTTCGTCGTGTTCTCCTTCACCTCCGTCGTCGACTTGATCATCTCGCTGGAGGAGGATGGCTACATTTCTGGCTTCATGGAGGTCTACGTCAGAGAGGTACCGCCTCACCCCGCCTCGGGCTCTCGCACGCCCCGGCCGTCAAACGAGCAGCCCCCTGCCCCCGGCTCGAGCACGGGTGCAGCTCCTGCCCCCGAGGCTGCTCCTGCTGCAGGGGGACCGTGCACGGAGCAGCCCCATCTCCCGCGGGGTCCCTTGGGGAGGGGGTGTGGGAAGGTGCTTGCCCCCACCCCGTATGCTCTGCTGTCTTCCGAACGGGCAGGGCGAGCCCTACCTGCGCACGGCCCACGGCATCATGGTCTGTTACTGGGACGGCATCGTCCACTACGGGCTCTACCTCGCCATGATCGCGGCCATCGGCCAGAGGTGAGCGGGGACGGCGGCGGGGAGGAGAGCTCGGAGGGGCTCGTCGGGGGTGGGAGAGCCCCGAATTTTGTGAGGAGGGGAGCTCTGAGCCTGGCAGACGTCTCTGACCCCGATGTTTCTGCAGAAAGAGCTACAGGAACCTGGGTCTCTTCTGGCTGGGCTCTCTGACGATGAGCATCGTCGTCTTCTTGCTTGGGAACCTGATAGGTACAGGGGTGCGGAGGGGGGGGCTTGACCCTACATCCAGCCCTTGCCGATCCCTCCAGGCTGCCTTCATCCCCCCTCATTTGCTCCCAAGCACTTGCCCCATGGGTAGAGGAGGCAGGTGCTGCCCTGGGGGCAAGCGGCAGGTATCGGTACTGGGTGCTGAGCCCTCGGCCGTGCCCACCCTGTGCTCTCCTTCCCCAGGGAAATACAGCTCCGACCTCAGCCCTGCCTTCCTCCTCAACCTGCCCTACGTCCTCATCCCCATCTGGGCTGGGGCGAGGCTCTTCCAGCAGCCCAAGGCCCTGCCGTGCCTCAGCCCCGAGAAGGTGAGCTGGGAGCCGGAGCAGGGGCTCACCGGGGAGCTGCACCGGGAGCCGTCACCCTCATTGCCCTCCCGGGGCTGGAGCACAGGGTGCAGAGCTGAAAATCCAGTGTTTTCCCTCTCCCAGGTTGCAGAGGAGCAACGCAAGCACCTGTACCAGCGACCCCAGGACATGGGGCTGGTCCTGGTCCTGCTCCTCACCGCCGCCTTCACCTTCTTCAGGGGGATGGTGAGTGCTGGGTCCCCGCACAGGGGTCCCAAAGAGGGCCACAGCGGTCCTGCTGGCTCCACGGGGGTCCCGGGGTGGGGGCATCTGCCCTGTTCCCACCACCCCTCCACTCTCCGCATCCCCAGGTGGTTTTGGACTGTCCCGCCGATTCGTGCTTCGAGTACATCTACCAGCACGAGCCGTACCTGCGCGACCCCGTCTCCTACCCCAAAGTGCAGGTGAGCGGGGCCGAGGCGGGGCTCGACCCCCCCCTCATGTGCCACCAGGGACGGGGGTGACCCTCTCTGTATCCCC